CAGCAAAATAATTAACTTCCATCGATATGTAATACAACAATGCAGGGAACACAGCTATCCATTAAGTAACATGGGGAGATATGAATGAAAACCCAGTGAATTACAGTATTGTTATATAGGAATGAAGTGATGCTGCCGACACTGTAGTTTGAACATAGATCGCTAGTGAACAAACACAGGCGATCCGATTATTAGATTAAGTGGATCACGTTATCATAAAGGAAACGCATATAGGAAGTCGCGTGACGTCTAGACTGATCGTTATTTCTATTCTATCATCTATTACTATTCGAATCGCTATTTCTACTCTATCCTCTGTGATATTCGAAGGCGTCTGATACCAGTATTGTTCAACGGCGTTATTATAGTTGTATCTGCGATTACCAAGTCTCTACTACAAAGAGCATTACGAAAGTGACAAGGAGAATTCGTTGACATTACAAAAGTGTCAAATGAGCGTTCGTTGACATAACAAAAATATGGTCGGAAATAAAACTGTAAACTGAAAAGTTTCAAAGACAGTGTTGATTTAAACAACAGAATTTGAAAATCAGGTTTTACATTGATACCACCAGTCAAATGGTGTCAAACTAAAACCAAGGATATTTTTTTTAAATAAAAACAATGTCGAAAATCAATTTCCCCGTTGGATTTTCTGTACATGTCAACGAAAAAGACTGAATAGACAAAGAAGGGATTAAGCTGTGGTTTGATCATATATGGAGTAGGCGACCACGTTGACATAGTAAACAATGTAGCATGTTGATGTGAGATATGTTCAAGTCTCATTTAACTACCAACACAAAGAAACGGCTAGAAAGAATAAACAAGAGGGGATTAAACCTTGGCTTGATCATATATGGAGTAGGCGACCACGTTGACATAGTAAACAATGTAGCATGTTGATGTGAGATATGTTCAAGTCTCATTTAACTATCAACACAAAGAAACGGTTAGAAAGAATAAACAAGGAGGGATTAAACCTTGACTTGATCATATATGGAGTAGGCGACCACGTTGACATAGTAAACAATGTAGCATGTTGATGTGAGATATGTTCAAGTCTCATTTAACTACCAACACAAAGAAACGGCTAGAAAGAATAAACACAGACGTGGCAGTTATTCCTGGAGGATTGACATCATTGGTACAACCAGTGGATGTGTGTCTCAACAAAGCCGTTTAAAGATCGCATTCGAGAACAATGGAACGAGTGGATGGTTAGCGGGGAAAAGTCATTCAAGCTACTGTAATAACCTACCGAAAACACAGTACCCACTCATGAGGTATTTGTAAATTGTGGTAGTTAATTGATAATATTTCCCTGCCGTTTTTATTAGATTTTGATGCTTACTAAATTTATTTAATAAATTCAGTGCATTTTAAAATACGATTTGTGGGAAGTTCGACTCGTACAGCAAATATAGCGCTAGACCTACAGTTCCAGTAAGTACTTGACTCTTCATGCAATCTTCTACAATTATAAAAGCCAGATCAAGCAGTAAATGAATTATTGTTGTTGCATAGGGGCAGGAGCTGACCAGTCCTCACTTTCGAGTTCAAAAGCGTCTTCCAGTCCTTGTTGAAGGAGTATTATTTTCGCCCTCCAACCTCTCTCTTTAACAGACGGGATGTGACGAGTCTCTCACTGCTCTATCGCTATTTCCATGGAAAAGGCCCGTACGAACTACAGTCCTTGGTTCCGTCAGGTCTAACCTTCACGGCGTGAAGTTCCACTCGAACAGCCTCTTCCCGCGAACCACTACACTATGGAAAGACTCCCAAGTGAATGTTTTCTCCGATCACTACAATCTTAACCCGTTCAAGTCTAGAGTTAACAGTTATTTTCCCCTCTTTTCTAAATAGACTACCCCTTAACGTAACCCTCTACCTTGAGTGGCCCCGTCACTGTACGGTGAAGCTTACTCTAAAAAAAAAATAATAATTTCGTAGTCGTCTTATACGCCCAGTTGCCTTGTACGTCAGCATATACTGTAAAATAATTTCGTATGGCGGAAAATGGGAGATTAAGTATCTTAATTTGCTTACTTTGAAAATCAGCATTCCAAGTTCTGACATTTTACCTAAGCTCGAACACCAAACTCCGACCCCAGTAGGATTTACCCAACTACTTCAACCTCGAGGCTGCTGCTTCTTCTCTCAGCTCTTTCTTCTCTCCTCGTCTTCCTTCTTTCTTTCTGCCATTTACTTTCACTTCCCTTTCTTTTCTTTCTCTCTTCCTCTTTTTTTGTCGCATAGTTTCTTATCTTTATCTCTTATCATCTCATCTTTCTCCTCTTTCTTTCGTTTCCTTTTCCCCTCTCTCACTTTCTCCCACTTCTCCTCGCCTCTGTTGTGTCAAAAGATGTCCTACTCTCAGTCACACGAATATAATCTCAAAACGTCTAATAAACAATGGCTGAAAAACATTCTAATTCGTATGTTCCTTCAGTAAAACAAAGGACGCTCTTCCTTCATAATGACCGCTCTTCATTTAAATCTGGATTTATCGCGGTGATGTTTTAACACCGCTATTGTCTCTGCAAGCGCAAAATGGTTACACGATCCGGCCTTCGACGCTGGCGAATATTTTCACACAAAAGAGAAAACATAATTAGTGGATTGAATAGCAGCAAATTAGAAACAAAAAAATTTTCTTCCATTTTTCTCAAAGATAAAAATAAAATGTCGATCATTAGACGAACACGAAAATTAAAATGATCATGCAACTGATTAGCTTAAATGCGACAGATCTAAATAAAATTGCTAAGATCTTTAGGCCATGTTGCATGATTTAACGAGTTATCAATCGTTGTAGTTATTTAATTCAGAAATTAAATTATTATCCTTGAGTCTATAGATACAAATTGGTCGGATTTATAATTGAATCTATAAATAATGGTCAGATACATACTTGAGTCTATAGATAAGAATTGATTGGTTTATACTTGTGTTTTTTAATAAAAATTGGTAGGATTTATAAAGTCTATAGATAAACATCGGTTGATTTATACTTGAGTCTATAGATAAACCTCGGTCGGATATATACTAAAGTCTGTATATAAATACCTGTCGGATTTATACTTGAGTCTATAGATAAACATCGGTTGATATAATACTTGAGTCTATAGATGAACATCGGTTGATTTATACTTGAGTTTATGGATAAACATCGGTTAATTTATACTTGAGACTATGGATAAGCATGTTCATTATATTTGAGTCTATAGATAAACATCGGTTGATTTATACTTGAGTTTATGGATAAACATCGGCTGATTTATACTTGAATCTTTAGATAAACATGAGTAGTAATTATACTTGAGCCTTTAGATATAAATGTGTCGGATGTATACGTGAGTCTATAGATAAACATCGTTTGGATTTATAATTGAGTCTTTAAATAAATATTGGTCTGATTTATACTTGAATTTTAGATAAAGATTGGTCAGATTTAAACATGTTTTACTTAAAAACCCCACTTACTTCAGATACATAGATGGCATTTTATTTATTAATATATATCCAAAACACAGATTTACCAAATATCATAAAAAGTTGAATAATATCGGACCCACTATCGAATTTACACACAATTCTATACTTTCGAAACAGTAATAAGTTAGATTTCAAGGTTTACCGAAACCCAACTAATAAATATGATCCTATACGGAACCGTCATATAGCCTGACGTGCTTTACCGATGACGTCACAGGACGCATATTTTCTATGAAAATTTCTCTGACATTCAGGTCTCAAAATAATTCTCGGACTTTGTTCATTTCATAATGTGTGACGTCAATTGTTTACATTTAGATACGCATCGAGCAGATATGAATGTACGAGAGAAAAAAATGGAGAATTGTAGTTTAAAAACAGTAAAATCGACCTTGCTAATAAATTATACCTAATCAATTTCTATTCCGATCACAGCGACAAAATAAAATCAAGATTAATTATAAGTTTTCATCTAAGAGGTCTTTGAATAGGTTTCCCGAAATACGTAGATAAAGAAGGAAATTATATTGAAAATAATTAGCTCCTTTATTACTGTTGTGGATTCCGGGAATGGAATCCTGCACAAATAAATAAACGACGCCAGTAACTGAAATAGAAAAATATGTGTATTAAACGTAAGAATACAAAGCTGAAATGAAGATTAGTAGTCCAGGAATGCGGTTTAGTAGAAAAGTATATGTACAAGTACCTGTAAGTAAAGTCGTAATTATCTCTCTTTCTGGACTCTCGTCTAACTCTGAGTGAACACCCGGTCTCGACGTTTTTCTCATGCTATCTCTCCGTAGTATAAGTATACTTTGGACGAGTCCATCTTGTGTACAAGGGGCGAGCCCCAGAATAATTACCCCGTCATTTCATTCTCGATGCAAGAAACAAAACATACAAAATCCATAAGACTAAAACAGTAAGTACAACCAAATTCCCAAAATACTATGTCTATAAGTCTACCAACCAACTCTTTATCCACTGAGGCTTATAGCCACATCAATGTTGAAAGCGTGGTTCACGGTTTATGGGGAAGAGACTGTTGAAGTTTTTAAGGTGCATAATGAGGAAATAGGGCTTGGAAAATTTGATACTCACAGGAGAAATTAACAGAGACAGAGGAAAGCAAAGCAGAATCTTGAGTGAATGGCTGGCAGAACAGGGTTTGGATGAGATGACAAAAAGACAAAAATTATATGAAACAAGAAATTGTGGAGAGAAGGGACACAGCACATAGAAGAAGAGAAGATACCTAAAAAAGATTTTCTTCCCGTCGTCCAATTGCATATTAAATTGAATATTAACAGCTTTATATCAGCAACCATCGCCTAAAAGAGGCTTTTCGATTAGACACTGTAGGACACTAGTTGCATTTACGGTAATTCAGACGAATATCCTTATCTGAGAAGGCTTGAAATTTTATAAACAAAATCTTGAAAACAGTTACATCATTATTTAAACAGAAAAAAAAATCATATCTAATTTATAAAACACACGTCGAAACACCGATTCCTGTACGATCACCGAAGTTAAGCAATGTCGAGCCTGGTCAGTACTTAAATGGGTGACCGCTTGGATTTGCGGATGGTGTAATCGATAATGACTCGAAATTATTAATTGGAGAGCAGTGTTCTAATTCCAGTTGGTTTCGTTATATTCACTTATCCGCAAATACCTTCAGAAAAGGCATGAATCCACCTCTTCCCTCTATACCTATGGCTTAATTAATAAGACTTATATCGCTAAACCATTATTATCTCCAAAATATAAAATAAAATTGCATACAAAATATTTAGATTTCAGCATTAAATAACCCATAGAGGTGTTGATATGCCGCTAAACAAAAACAACCGATCAAGAATTTATCCTCTGAACTTGAAAACGATTTAACTATCCGAGGCTCTAAAATTACAATCATCATCTGTTCAGTAAAAAACCTGGAATCAATAAGGCGTTGAAAGGTTGGATATATAAGTTGCCTGCAATGACTCTGTGAAATGTTCAGAAGTTTAAAGAACCACATTTCCGAATACAGAAGAGATCTTTGTTGAGATAATCCATCAATAACACATACAAAGTGTTCAAAAAGTCTCCTAAGTATTTTTCATACATTTCTTTCTTTTTTCATTTTCAGAACTTAGATTAAATATTAACAACATAAAATCTGAAGATGGGTAATTTCATTCATTATTTTAATCAAAGTTGTGAAAAATAATAATAAATGTATGAAAAATACGTATGTGACTTTTGAAAGACCCTTGATATAAAAAAAATAATGCCTTTGTAAAAAGTGAATGCATCCTATCAGGCAGGGACGGTTCAAGGGTCTTGTGGCCACCCCAGAAACTATAATACGGACTCCTTATTCTACTACATCTCAGTTTTAATGAAATAATATTCATATAAAATACATAGTTTATTGTAACCTAATTATGTACAAAAATGGATCATATGCAATATAGGTGAACAATTCAAGTAGAAAAAAGGAAAATAAATACAATGTATCTAAATAGAAATTAGAGACATGTCATTATAGATGATTCCATTTTAAATAAATCGACAATGATTTCCGGCAATTTTTAACATCAACTAGAGATTTTTCTTGTTATGATATTGAAGAATTTTAACACATTCAACATTATGGATAAAAAACAGTAAATTTTATTTAGTGGTTTTTCGAGTCTTAGCAATCACACGCATCAGCGGTCTTTTTAACAGGAAAGCTAGTTTGTAATTGGGTTTCTTGTTCCTTCTAAAGTCTTCTCATTCTCTTTCACTCCCAGTAACCCCTTGAGGCTTAGTGGCATTATCACCATCTTCTGTCTTCCTGAAACCTATTCTTTTATTGTCCTTTCTCCTCATTAAAGTCTTCTCATTCTCTTTCACTCCCAATAATCCTTTGAGTCTTAGTGGCATTATCACCATCTTCTGTCTTCCTGAAACCTGTTCTTTTATTGTCCTTTCTCCTCATTAAAGTCTTCTCATTCTCTTTTACTCCCAGTAATCCCTTGAGTCTTAGGGGCATTATCATCATCATCTGCCATCTTGAAACCTATTCTTTTATTCTCCTTTCTCCTCATTAAAGTCTTCTCATTCTCTTTCACTCCCAGTAACCTCTTGCGTCTTAGGAGCATTATCGCCTTCTTTGGGGTGATGGCTTCACTGGTTGATGACCAATTCGCAAATGAAACTACAGGACCTCCGAGGCAAGGTGGTAGAAGCATGCGCAAAAAAGGGATAAAACATCAACTGCATGAAGAATGAACGTATGATCAGCAGCAAGAGAAAAAAAACCCGAAGATGAGAATTACGAACTGGAGATATAGACATCAAGCAGGTGCAAAAGTTCAAAGTGTTTTTTTTAAACAGAGGATAGAAAATGCGACACCGTGATCCGAGCACACACTGGACTAGCGAGAGTAGCATTTCAAAAGCTAAGCAAAGTGCTGAGAAACGGCAACGTTTCGGTAGAAACAAAGAAAAACGTGCTGGGTTGCTATAAGGTCTGATAGTCAGTCTTAAAGAAAATGGCAACAGAAAGAACACTTATACTGAGAATCAGAAAAAGACAGGTGGAATTCTTTGGACACGTATTGAGGAAGGAGGGCTAGGAAAACTTAACCCTCGCTGAGAATACTGAGGACAAAAGAGATAGGGGAATGCGGCGAGCCAATTACCTGACCAGCTTCTGTGAATGGATGGCGTAACGGGGATGGGAGGCTGGGACCTTAGCAAAGGGAGACAAACCACCGAAGAAATACCGCTTGTGGTAGCTAACTCCTCTTTACAGTTTATTGATATCAGTACAACGGTAAGGTCCGATGGCTGAAATAAAAAAAAAAGACGAATAAAACAGTATTGTCCTTAGTATACGTACAATCTAAGGGTGTCCAGCACACTACAGACTTTTAGTTTCCCCTTAAATTACGTCTTCGCCTATTTCCCACTGAGATGAATAAACGGTCACTTGTGAATTTTTACTAAAGACTTATACGGCCCGAATATTTCGTGCTCGGGGTTTCATTTACATACATGAATAGTTTTACTTAAAAGTGCTTATATTTTCATTGAAGTGCACTGATTAAAATATTGCAGATTTATTTGCATAGCTAATATGTGACAGCCTTATGAAAATGGAAAAAAAAAACAGTTTAAAAACTTGTTTCGGTTACTCATGAGCAGGATATTTGAATTGTCAGACGCTCTACCCAACTTTGCTGTCTTGGTGATGACGTATTTAAAAGCGACAAAACAGAAAAAAGTATAAATGTGGAATTATTTTTCAAAAAGCAAATCTCTTAAAGCCTCCAGGTTAATTGGCTGACAATGAAAGATTTTGTTTCAAAGGACCACATCACAAAGCAGGTGACGCATGGAGTTGTTGACTATTTTGTTTGATAAACAAAACTTTAGAGTTTCCGATTTTTTACCAGCAACTCCAGTAAGAAATATTTTCACCCTGATTTTTTTTTGGATGGTCATCATCATTATTTTTTTTTAAATTTGTAACATAAACATTTCAGAAACAACTAGAGACTTAAAAATACAATAAGGAAACATATTAAGTATCTTGTTGATTTCATCAGTTTATTTTTCTTCTTTGTGTAATTGTGAATGCGATATTTGTCCATATTTCTGAGATGAGGTATTATGTACACTATTTACATTGTTCGGACTATCGTCCTCATCTTTGTTGCCATATTTATCACAACATTTCGGCCGTTGTATGCTCCGGCTTTCTTCAGGTTGTTGGAATGTCGAACTGAACCTTTTATTTCGTTTGCTGGGGTATACTGTTCTAATTCCATGTGCCATGTCTAATGGAATCTCCTGTTAACTCCCCTGTCCAAGTTCTCCACCGCCTTAACCAGGTATTGAACTCGCAACTCTTTAACCAACGCCTTTATCCACTGTGCCATGTGTCCTTGAGGAGTTAACAGGAGATAACTGATAACTGACATCTATTAAACATGGCACATGGAACTAGAACAGTCTACCCTAGTGAGCTAAATAAAGGGTTCAGTTCGATATTCCAACCACCTTGATTTTGAAAGTTCTCTTAACTAACACCTGGAATGCATTATGGCTGGTATACTTCCTTCTTTTTATGTGCAATGCCCTTTCAGGATGTAGGCGATCATGGCTCTCCACCTCCCTCCATCCCTTGCAGCTCTCAACAAGTTCCTTCCCTCTGCTTCCTCCCCTAGACCACGTTCTGTCATCCACTTGATTGTCCGCTAGGTTTGTTACGCGTTGTTTTTCCTTGTCTCTCTTTCCCTCTATTCGATCCGGGAGTATCAGATTCTCCAGGCCCTCTTTCCTCGTTGTATGAACTGCTATACTATCAGTCTGATAAAAAAAATGTTCATCTAATTCTAGACATAGTTTCGAGTTATTCAATCTTGGTTCTTCCTCAGTAGGCTGACTCATAGTTAAAAGCGATGAAATACGCACTTACTTTCCGAACAGCCTAATACTCTATTTTAGTTTAACAAAGCACAGGTTGATTTTACTTCAAAAAGAAAATTCCATAATACAGAAAGGAAATGAGAAGTTGCCAAAGTCTGAGTCGTTATTTTCAATGATAGATTTAGCCAGGGGTTCAATGCCTCCAACTCTAGATGACCAGAAATTGGCAGTTGATTCACCCCTCTGACCTGGCTGAGTGGAGCAAAAACTAACTGGTCTGCTTCGGAAAGAAAACTAGTGACGTTCATCACCGAGCAGACCCAGAATTTTCACCGATCGCGGGGAACGGGTGTCCCCCTCAAGCAGGTCCGGTATTTAAGCGCATACTGAGGCTTAGATTCAACCCAGATACCAAGTAGAACGTGTGCTTACGATCCATCACCAAAGATGCTGAAAACATGGTCGATTTCCAGCAACGCTCCAGTAAGTATCTGACTCCTCCTGATATCCTTTACCTTTACAAGAGAGACGAGGTTGAAAATGGGGTACTGCTTCCATATATAGACAGGAGTTTCCCAGTGATCATTTCCTAGTCTCGATAGAGCCCAAAAGCATCCCTGCGTCTTTGTGGGATATTAATTATTGTTCACCCTGCAAGCCCTTTCCCACAAACAAAACGTCTCAAGCCTATCGTTGTTCTATCGCTATTTCCATGGAAAGTGTTCAGACGAACACCTTTCCTTAGATTCATCAGTTCTAACCTTCGCGGTTTGGAGACGTACCATGCCACGCCCACTGAAGCGAACCACCGTCATTCTCTTCGTATTCCTTGGTGAGGTCCACTCGAGTAGCTTCTTCCTACAAACCGCTGCTTCGTAGGGCCCATTCCCAAAATAATGCTTCTACGATCACTAGAATCTTAACTTTTCAAATCTAAGTTCAACTGTTATCTTTCTCCACATATCTGCATAAACTGTGCCTTTTTCTCTATAACCTTCTACCACGAGCGGCTCTTGGGCCTTGCACAAATTGAACATCATTGTAAAAAAAATCATTGCAGAAAATGTAATCAATAATTATTCAAGTTGCATTTATTCTTAATATTGAATGTTGTTATGGATTTCTTTGGTATTTTTTTCGATAAAATGACGAAAATATTTAACGCCTCAGATTTGGCAGATG